TTGACAACCACCCATATGGTTTCAGCGGCAGAGGCGGCCTGGAGCTGGCCAGGGAGTCGACCCTCAAGGCCTCCATAATCAAGGTCTCCATGAGGGCCAAAGCCCAAGGAGGAGTCATCATTTCCCACGCTGGCACTCTTCCAGCTACGACTCCCCAGGTTGAGGGAGGCTATGACATGATGCAGCTGGCAGCGAAGGCATCAGGGTCCGCCCGGAGCGGGGATCACCTTATCCTCAACCCATGCTTCGCAGTGATGCGGGCAATCAGTGTCGCCTGGCCTACACCCTGGAACCTCACATCCTTGATCCTGCACTCTAGAAGGCCAAATGGCTGCCAATGTGCCATTGAGGGTTTGCGGTTTAGGGGCTTAGGGTTTAGGGTGTAACCCGCCCTTACCCCTCAACTCTAAACGTACTTAATAGATACACCCAAGTGACACCCTATTCCAAGTTTTCAGGCCCCCACCTGACACTCCCTTCGCGGTTTAGGGTTTAGGGCTTGGGGATTAGGGCTTCGGGCTTTAGGGTTGAGAGTCCGGATTCCCTTTTATGGGTTTAGGGTTTAGGGTTCTTTTCCATTTCATTCTTCTATTCCAATACGTCCCTGTATAACGCCGACCTACTTATCTACTTATCCCTATACAACCCCCCTTTCCGGACCGTAAGCCCCCCAAATCCTTAAACCCAAATCCTTAAACCCGAAGCCTTAAACCCTAAGCCCTATATACCCCTAAGGCCTCAAGCCCATACAAACTTACCATTACTTAGGGTTCTCAAGTGTCCATAACTTCAAAATGTTGAGCTCAAAAATCTGCTTCCAAACCTTCAGTACTAGTAACAAACCCCATACCCTAAACCCTTTAAAGGGCCCCTACCTGGACCCCGAAAGCATGTAAAACAATGGCCTTTACGTGTTTAGGTAGCTTCATGCCCCGCAAGTAACCTGGACGTGATGTGGTCCCAAGGTGGAGGGAGCAGCGGCTATCCGCCAGTGGCCAAAAATAAGTTCGCTTCAGATGTTCTGGGGGTTCTAGGGGTCCCTTTACTGGGTTGCTGTTCAGGCACTTAGTCTAAGTTACCAAAGTATGGGTATATAGTAAACAATGGGGTTCCCTTATTACAGAAACTTAATTGAAGCTCTTTAACAGCCATCCATTCTAAAGGGGTTACACGGGACATATAGGGTCAAGGATTTAGAGTTCAGGGATTAGCGTTTAGCGACCAGGAATCAGTGAGTAGGGCGTAGGAATTAGGTTTTAGGGACCGTGGTTGGGGAGTATATGGGGTTAAGGTTAATTTGAAGTAGCCCAAAACCCTGAATTCTAAACCCTAAGCCTTTTGACGTACTGTATCTGAGTTCAGGCCGCAGTCAGAGTTATCCTACTTCGATACTGCCAAGTCGTAAGTGGAGCCATAAGGAGTCTGCCTTGAATCAGAAGCGCAACTTACTTGACATGGTTTAGGGTTTAGAGTTTAGGGCCCTAGGCCCTAAACCCCCCCTAATCCCTAGACCCTAACCCTCAACCAAGCCTCATCTCCGCATGTGAGCTTTGCAATCGCAACATTCCGTTCTTGTCCTTGGAGCAGCAAGGTTAGTTTTGGGGTGGCTATAGGGTTTAGGCTTCAGGTTTTAGAGTTTAGGGCCTCAGCACCCAGCATTTGTGGATATGCTTGGGGTCCTTGAGATATTGCGAGGGGAGTTACATCCGGGAATGAAATCAGTGGATCCACCCTAAACCCTAAAACCCTAAAACCCCAAAACCCCACACCCTAAACCCTACAACCGTAAAAATCCTAAACCCCCTACCATCCCTATAGGCCCCCATTTATGAGAAGCTACCATGTAGGAATTTTCGATCGGGCATTCGGCAAGTATCGCGCTTTGGTGGTGAGGGTACAGTCGCTCAGTCTAGGGTTTAGGGTTTAGGGTATGGTTCCCTTAAGGTCACTGCACCCTTCACGCTGAAGCCTTCCATAGCTTAGGACCCGTTGCGACATTCACTCTGAGAAGCAGACGCCCCTCCCCTCGAAAGGGAAACATTCCCTCATGACTTGTAGTAGCCGTCATTACAGGGGTTTCATTGAGGGGCTTTGACAGTTCCTATTACTTCTTGTGGTAGCTGACTCCCCTAAACCATAAACCCTGAGCCTTGTAAGTGTACTGATGACTACCTGGATCCCTTAAACTATGTAGAATTACGGCCCTTCTGGCTGTTTGTACGTGTTTAGGGCTATAATTTTACATGCTTTTGGGGTGTAGGTAGGTTCCCCTAAACCCTAAACCTAAACCCTACTAAACCCTAAACCCTACTAAACCCTAAACCCTACTAAACCCTAAACCCTAAACCGTTATGGACCCTTGCGAGCTTCAGAGGAGTTTCTCCAGTTGACCTATAGAAAGATCTCCAGCATGAAGATGGGTTTAGGGTTTAGGTTTAAGGTTTAGGGTTTAGGGTTTAGGGTTTAGGATATTGCTAGACCTGGATACCATTGTCTTGGGGTTTGGAGTTTAGGGTCCGGCGTTGAGGCTTTAGGGTCTGGGGTTTAGACCTGACCCTAAACCCTAAACCCTAAAGCCTATATAAACCCTAAGCCATTTGTTTAGGGCTTAGGGTTTAGGGTTTAGAGTTTAGGTGGCAGGACGATTGAGAAGAGCCAGGTCAGGAATGACAGCTTGTAGGTCTACCCATCCCAGACCCCCAAAGGGATCTAAAAATTCGATCCCTTAGAACCATATGGGAAATTATACAAGGATTAGATAGGGGTTATTATGGGTCTATATAGGGGATCTAATTCTTAGATCCTCCCAGGGGTCTGGGATTGGTCTTAACCCTTAGCCTGGGCCCCTTGACGCGAAACCCTAAACCTGGAACGCTTCAACCGTGGGTGGTCTTATAGCCAGGATCTCGATGCGTGTGCGGGCAACCTGAAAGCAGAATGCCCCAAAATGATATTGGTAATTACTTAAGCCCCTGTAGTACTGTTGCTGACCACTGATGCGTCCTACTTGGAGGTTCATAGGTAGTTAT